CCTGTACTCTTCATTAGGGGAAACAGTCGGAAACTGCAATCTCTCGAGTATAACATTTCAATCTGCTGCATCAAGTTTCAACAGGAGGCACAGATTGTATAGAGGGGCAAATTAAATATAATACTAAAGAATTTACACAATTTGTACATTTATCTTATTCGCAGCAACAACTCGCCTTATGCCGTGAATATTATTTATTTTTTCTATGAGGACGAAATAGGCTCTTTAACACGGTAAGAGTCAAATCATTTACTTTGACTCGACTCATTCATCCACCAAATGACTAACTGCACTGCTAAATTAGGCAAAAAGAGTTAATTCACATACTGCCCCAGTTATGACAGCGTGATCTGTTCTGCCATGCGAACCGGACCAAAGTCTGCTAAGTATATCTCAGTCTGAACCAGTGTTGGTGAGGCATTGGACAGGGGTTTAGAAATGACATCATATCTGGCAGGTCACAATGTTCTGTTGGCCGTACAACACTGAACAGCCTGTAAAAATGTCCGCTGCTGTTTCATGACTTCATGCGGTTCATTTAACGGGCTCCATTTTCAATCTGTTGCTTCAGAGGCTAAAACAATCCAACCATTCCAGGATGAGATGTTTATGACGTGTTTTTAACGAGAGAGAATGTGTCTGATTGGCACTTCTGTTCTTGATACAAAAAATACGGTGTTGGAGCTTTTAAATGTTTTAATCGAGAGGCATTTTCCATCTGTGATGTGCTTGATAAATCTTACGCATGGATGTCAAATCCTTAGATAACCTCCATATAAAAGTGTCAGGTAAATCAATCTGCTGCTTCTTAACAAGTGCCTCATAAAAGACATAAAAGGGTCCATGTGGTTTCAACATTCCCAGAGCTTCTTCTCTGGCTGGCAACAGCTCAGTGGCTATAGCTGGTGTTCAATTGTCAGTGAGATTTACAGCTAGTAAGTTTATGGTTTTACCAAATCACTGAGACATCTACGTACAGGATCAGTGGGAAAAGGGCTTGGGAACAAGTCATCGCATAATCATTTCCCAATATTCCATACAGCGGATTGTGAAACACTATCCACGATTAGAAATACCCGGATTGCTAATGTCCTCTTGTGAATTCTGAATCATAAAGATTATTGTGCCTAACTCTAGTGCTTTGTCCTTCAGCTCTTTTGACAAGTAAAAACACAGCCATAAACCTGGATCCATGAACTAGAATTTTACCAGTATTGAATTTCTCTCTAGGCTACAGCTCCACAAGGTAGAAAATAAACACAATTAAACAGACAAAAAAAATTATGTTTGACTATCTTGCCGATTTTCTTACTTATGAAATTAACTTATCTGGTTGTTAACTTCTTTTGTTGTGCTTTATTGACGAGTATGTTTGGACTAAGTACCTTATATTTACATTGGTATGTTATTGTTTGGTGCATATGTGTAAAGAAAATAGGGCTACATTTCACAGCCCCACCTAGTGTCAGCAGAAAGTATTAAAATAATAATTACAAAGAAATGCAAAAGAATGCAAAACAAATACATCTTAAAATATATTTTACGATCATGTGTAATCATCTAATTCGTCTGTACATCAAGGTTCAAGGTTCTTTATTGTCAAACTAACATAGCTACAGAGTAATTATGTCGTTGAAAATCTTAGGTCACAGGCTTCTCCAACAATGCAACATTGCTGTTTTAGTCTGTGTTCTTCTAATTAGCGTCTACAGCAGGGGTGCCCACCAATCTCGATCGCGGGGAGATTCCCAGTCGATCGGGAGATGTGTCTAAAAATAGAACAACAATATTCTGTTTTATCGTTAATGTCCTATAACATAATCTTCCTGTGCCAGAATAATGCACTTGAACGCATCAAAGCTTTGTGATTGGCGTGACCCCATGTGTCGGGGCGTGGCTGGTGGGCAATGAGCACTAGTTTGCTGACGTTGTCCAATTATGGCAGAAGCAAAAAAGCCCAAAATATATCATTTTCACTCCGAGTGGGAGGATGATTATTTTTGTATCTATTCCAATTCAAAGTCCATCTGTCTCATCTGCAATGAGAGCGTGGCTTTATCGAAGAAGGGTCATTTAGGAGCGGCATTTCAAAACAGTGCACAAACGCTACGAGACGGAATTCCCTCCTAATTCTGCCCTACGCTCCCAAAAGGGGAGGGGCCTGAAAGGACAGCTAAATGCACAGCAGTCCATTTCACCAGGCTGCTACCATTGCATCTTATCGTGTCAGTCACGTTCTTGAGAAACACATGAAGTCTTTCAAAGACGGCGAAGTTGTGAACGAAGCATTCCTGGAGGCTGCCGACGCGCTTTTGGGGGACAGTAAAAATAACAGAAGCATTTCAACAGGTTTTTGATATAATAAAAACTCAAGTTAGATACCGTTATTAATCAGCTGTAAGTTTTAGTTTGTTTGAACTTATTCATTATAATTATTGTACAAAATGGTATAATAATGCAAACATTAAGATCTGTTCTGTTTAAATTGATTATAGTCTATTATCAATGCAGGTTAAGAAACTAGTGTTGTATGTGACGTGTGAATAAACTCCAACTCTGTATCAACAACACTGTTGTGTAACTTCAGTTAAATACTTGTATGTGTGTAGATTAGAAAGAGGTGAGATAAAGGATCTGCAGTATTTTATGAAGTATTAATCGTACAAAGGTCAGTTTTATACAAGTAGAAGTGTGTATTTACCTGGTAGTAGGCTGTCAGTAATGGCTACGCCTCTCTATTTGGACTGGTAGATCTCGGCAGACTGGCAACTTTAAAAGTAGCTCTCGGTTCAAAAAAGGTTGGGCACCCCTGCTCTATAGAGTGTGCCTATTGAGCCGTTTTGAGCGACGTGGGTCAAGCCCTGATCATGCCCCTCTCTCTCACTGTCAAAGTGAATGGGTGCTGTAAAAACTACACTGCGCATGCTCAGAGTCTTTTTCTATTTAATGTGTGTGGCAAAAAAATAATCACCATAGGGGCACTGAGCTGCCATCCCCACCATACATCATCTCACATAATTCAGAGCTGATTGGCTGTAAGTACGTGTGCCGCGATAAGTCTGGTGTGTGAAGAGGAGACGAGAGACGCGTCCTAAAACCCGGAAGTAAGCTGCGCATGGCTTCCCTCGACAAAAAAGCAATGAGATTTCTCCATAGGATTTTAGAAAATAGCTCCAAATAAGATCTGTGGGAAACGTACCTGTTAGATAAATGCACGTTTTGTTCAGCCGGATAATATCCACATGTCTACCCTACTTTTATCATTTTCGAATCATAAATCTATCGATTAGATTTATGATAGACTTTTGAAACTACAAGAACATAAGGAGGACTTTTACAAAAAAGCAATAGAGATTTTTGTCCAGAAGGATAGGCAAATGGACTTCATCTTCAAGTCAAGGTAAGACCACAATTGTATTGAAAATGGGATCTTACTGAGAGAAGAATTCAATATTTAAATGATACAATTACATTTTTTGGGTATCCTTTTATTGAACTGTGTGTTTAAAATTAATCGAAGCATCAGACTAAAAAAGATTTTGAAAATAATATTATATTTTGATTTAGGTCAAAATATAATATTTGTAAACCTGAAGAGTCAGTGCCTCACCAGCCATGAACCTCACTGCACGTCATTGCAGGAGCTTATATATAGACATCTACGTTTTTTGTGCCCCACCACTTTTGTACATATAAAACGCCACATGCTGCATTACATGTCGATTTAAGTGGTGCTCATAAAATGTGTGCTCCTAAAATGTTCAGTAGGAATCCCCATGCCCGGGTTTTTCCTACAGGATAAAAAGTGGAGCCCTGCTGATAGCAGCCACATGACAGTTTCATTGGCTGAGCTTTAACAGCTGCCTGCAGTGCCACTGTGGCTGCAACATGGGCCATTTCTTTACAGCAGACATTTGACTTGTAAAAGGGAAAGCTCTGATGTAACTAATATCTTTAACGTTCAGGCATGGTCAGCAACCCTTATCAACATGGTCAAACAATCATTGGATATACAATGAAAAGAGCTCCAACCACCTTACATTACCTCGATAGTTGTCTATTTTAAGTGTGTCATGTCTCCATGCTTTAATGTTCAAAAAGCTCTTTATTGTTCTCATACTGCCTGTGCTGCAGCACCTCTTTTCACCCTCTGTCTGAAACCAGAGCCCAATCTGCTCTGATTGGTTAGCTGGCCGGATCTGTTGTGATTGGTCAACCGCTGATGGCGCTTTTCCACTGCAGCACGTAGCACGGTTTAAGCGGGCCGAGCCAAACCAGGCCTGCTTTTCTTTTCTTTTCCACTAGGGGTAGTTCTGCGCCATGACACAGACAGTCTGTGGTTTGTACTTGTTTAACTTTTGTCTGGCTTCTGAACAGATATGAGGAGCTGTGAGCTCTGAGTGCTAACTGCTAACGGCTGATGTTTGGGTTTTGTGGTTCGCATTGAAGATGACGAACCAACTGTTGTCTTATGCTTGGCATAAGACAACAGTTAAAATGACTTTTAAAACTTGGAGAACTATGTCTCCGTGTGCCTTTATCTCACATCTAAGCTTCTGTTTTGAGCCAATTATATATTGTCTCTAATGTTTTGGTTTTCATTAACTGGTATATGTCTTTCATGGTTTAACTTTATTTACATTTTAGTTTTTTTCTTATCATTTACACACTCAAGATTTCGACTTTTTGATACTTTTGGTGTATTCAAATATGCTTTTTAATAATAAACAAATGTTCTCAAATGTGAATATTTTGATTCAACATGCAAAACAAATATGTGTTTTTGCCTGAGTTTTGATCCTGTGAGTATTTCATTTTAAGATCATCTGATAAACTTAGAAAGTGAAGAGTTCTTCATTTACACTGGCGTTTTTTAATCCTAAGAAATAAGAATATTTAGATTAAACTGAATGCATAAATGAAATGGAATCAATAAACTGAATAATGGAACTGAGCAGCAGCAACAAAAGGAAATGAGTTTCAGATTGTAACAGTGTTACCTTTATGTTGGAGAACCACAGGTCGTTCTCATGCAGCGTGGCCATGTAGATACAGCACAGCAGACCCAGACCCACAGACACAGACCAGCCCACCGATGTCCAGATGATCACCCCCCATGACCAATCACCTGCAGGAGCAGTGACAGGTCAGCGCTTCAATTACCCCTTTTTGCATGAAAGAATACTTAAACAATCAATCGATAGTTATTTTTTGTCGCAAGTAAAAATATATTACATTAGCTTTATACAATTCAGAAGAAGTTTAAAAAGAATAGCCTAAATGTGTGTGATTGGTTGAAGATATATGGTTCAAATATACAGCTTAACCTGAACAGCTAGAGCTGGAATTTCACCGTTTTTTCCCCCATTTCCCCAGAGACCCAGAGACCCAGAGACAAATACATTTATTTGGTGTACAAGCGAGATGGGTTTTCTCCGTGGCTGGTGTCTCCCTTAGGGATAAGGTGAGAAGTTCGGTCATCAGGGAGGGACTCGGAGTTGAGCCGCTCCTCCTTCGCGTCGAAAGGAGCCAGTTGAGGTGGTTCGGGCACCTAGTTAGGATGCCACCTGGGCGCCTCCCTAGGGAGGTGTTCCAGGCACATCCAGCTGGGAAGAGACCAAGGGGTAGACCTAGGACCAGGTGGAGGGATTATATCTCTTCGCTGGCCTGGGAGCGCCTTGGGATCCCCCAGTCAGAGCTGGTTGATGTCGCCAGGGAAAAGAAAGTTTGGGGCTCTCTGCTGGAACTGCTACCCCCGCGACCCGACCACGGATAAGCGGGAGAAGATGGATGGATGGATGGATGGTGTAAATTGAATTTGTGTCAAACAGCAAGGCTCTCATGGCTCAATTTCTAAATGTCTCTCAAATCAAATGCCACAATCGTGATCCCATAGTCATCTGGGAATTGAGCAATACTAAGTAAGAAACCTGGAGGGGGAGATAACGGAGTAACTTTTTGCAGGCTTTGTCAAAGGAGAAGGCCCATTTTCTCAGACTTTGAACCCCGTGGACTATTAGATTTTCGTTGCAGCTCTAATTTGCAAAACGTGTTGTTCGACTGCATCAGAAATGAATCGTGTTAGTACCTAAAATAAATATGGGGATAACGCTGTTCAAATATGGGGATGACGTCACACTGTTTCCCGGAAGGCTATTAAAAGGGTTGCCCTTGGGAGTATAAATGAATAGTGACAGAAAGAGTGAAGCACGTTGATGATGGCTGCTTTTTGTTAAAGTGCTGCAGCAAGTCAAGGTTACTCTTACTATGATATAAATGGCATTTCAATCATTTTAATGGACATGCGGTGAAATGCAGGAAAAACGTTAGTTAATTATGCTTGATGTTTTTCAACAGATGCAACCCAAGACTCTTTATAAGCACAATAAAGTGTGGGGTAGCCAGCAGAGTGAGTTGCATTTCTTCCCAACCTGACCATGAACCTCACCTCCCATTGGCTCACTCACCGTGTAATATATTCTCTGGATGATGATCGGAGCAACAGTTGGACTGCTGGGACTGAAACTCTGCACCGAGAGGGGGCTCCTTCCCCCTGCCCCCCTTCCTCTGACGCAGGGCTGTCATGATGAACAACTGCAAGCAGACAAGAGGGGGGAGTGTGTGTATGTACACGCGCAGATATGATGAAAGCATGGACAGATACACACAGGCGCGTGCACTCAACACAAACAGCACGTGCAATGTGAGCCAAAGCAAACACCGAGCTGCACCACTGTTTAGGTTTCCTTTTCCATTCAGACTGGTACCCGGGGTGGACAAGCCTGCTTACAGCGGCATTTCCTGCTCACGCCGCGGCCAGAATAACGTGAAACATCAGGTCCCATCTATCGACACCGACAGTTAACCGGCAAACTACCGGAATTAAGCTGTGGTAGCCTAAGCTAAAGCAAATGTTCACTAATGAGGCACAAGTAGGTAGTGTACAACAACAAAAAACTACGAGAAGGTTTAGACTCCTATTGTGAAGCATACTTCTAAAGCCTTGCGTAATTGTGTATTTTGCATAACGGCGCGCGCCCCGCTATGGACGCCAGCTTCTGTTTGACAGCAACAAAGACGGATAGGATGTGTGCCCGCGGTACATTTATAAGCCTCACCCTCCTGTACAGCGGCGGCAGGTAGGATGGTCCGGCAGCTCTCCTCTACCTCCCTCTCTCCCCCGCCCCCCTGTATCTCTGTATCTCCCTCACTCTCTCATCCTCTCATCTTCCTCTCCTCTTTTCCTCCCTCCCGTTAGAATTCATCGGTCAGCTTCATAACGCACCGGGGTTTAAGCACGCGACAATACCGGAACACAACAGAGCCTTCCTTCAAAATAAAAGCTATCACTTTTTTTATAGGGATGAGTTTTAAGTAATACCTCATTCACACCAACGGTGTTTCAGGGCCGGTTCGGAGCTGGAGCTTGAAAAGCACTGGGTTTTCCTGTTCACACTGCAGCGGAGCAGCCTCTTAGCTCCGGAATCCGGTTCGTTTCAAGCACCAAATAATTGTCCGGCTAGAGCAGGGGTACTCAAATACAAATCTTAAAGGTCCAAACTATTTCTTTTAATAAGACAAAGGTCCGTTTATTACGGTCATTCACACTTTTAAACAATTGCAACAAGATTCTTAACACGAGGTTGCAAAAACAAAAATAATCTGTATGCAGCAGTTTTCATTGTTATTGTGTCTGTGCTTGACCCCTCAGAGTCGCAGTGTCAGAGCTGCACAGTTATGAATAAAGGCAGCTGCACCCTCTTTCATTCAGCATTCCCATTATTGCTTTATAAATGTCTTGCCCCCTTTAGTGTCCACTGAGGTTCGTCAGGCCCAACACATCTTCAACAAACTCCCCCTTTGCCTCATCATAAAAACTCACAAACACCAGCAACTGAGCATTGTCAGTGGTGTCAGTGGACTCATCCACAGCTAAGGAAATGTACTGTGCATTTTTTATTCCATCACAAAGCTGATGAATCAAATCACCAGCCAGTATTTATGTTCTTCTGGTTGCTGTGGAATCTGAGAGGGGGATTTGCTTGATTTGACCTGTTATTTCCTCTTTTTGTTTGCCTTCAAACATGGTCTCCATCACTTCAGTCATGCATTCTTTTATACTTCAGTTATTATCCAGTGGAAAATCCTTACCTACTGGCCTAGTTAAAGAGCCTGTGACACGAGTTTCCCCCATCACCAAACCCATCAACTTGAGTAAATATTGTCCCCTTGAAAACCGTTACTGAACTGATTTTGGATATTTGTACTTTGATAACCATTAATCTGCCCTTCAATGTTGACCATTTCCTGGATCTGCTCGGGGATTCTTCAAGTCCTGCCAAATTACGTGTGACGTCATTGCGGGCACAGCGCTCCAGCTGCACCGTTCAGGATCCCAGCATCTGCATGCAAACGCACGATGGTGCACACAGCAGCAAGCTCAGACAGCGATGACAGTTTAATTTTGAACGTGTCTGAGAGCTCATATGAGGCTGAAGGATCGGTTTATGTTGTATCTGTTAGAAGTTTAGGAATTAGGTGCGTCAATATGGGCGATCATACGGTCATGTAGCCAGTGGTGGACTGGGACTAAAAATCATCCCGGGACTCTCGACCGGCCCACTTCGGTACCGCTAGTAAATTGTCAACGGGGGGAGTGGGGGATGTGCTAGTGACTTATCCGACCGGCCCACTTCGGTACTGGCCCATCGGAATTCGTCCCGATGGCCAGTCCTCCACTGCACCCAGCCCAGCCCACGTAAACTGTCAACGGAGGGAGCCTCGCTGCGGGGAAACGGTGGACATAGTGTCCCGATCGGAGTGGGAATAATAATAATAATAATAATAATAATAATCCGTGCATTTTATCCATTAATTTCCCCAACATTGTAAAAAAAAAAACACACGTTTAATCCATGTTGGTGTACAACTACAAAAAGCATCGGTTTGTTTTCTCATCAGGAAATGCAGACCGGCTCAAACAAACGATTTTTAAATCATCATCCTCACGATCATTTAATGTATCATATGTTTGCCGAATTGACATGAAAGCACTAATAAATGTAGTTTCATCCACTTGAGTTTACAACTACAAAAATAATCGATTTGTTTTTATATCACATCCTATGGGAGGAAATTCAGCAGCTCCGAATTTTAATCCTAATGTAATCATCCTCTTCACCACGATAATTTATGTTTATGTTCGCCGAATTGACATGAAAGCACTGACAAATATGAATATACTGTAGTCAACTTCATTAAAACGTTATTAACGTGCCTAAACTCAGTAATTCACAATTTCTACGCATGACACACTTTGTCCGTGTTTGGCTCTCTCGCCGCACAGTGAAGCGTTCCCGCATTGACGTCACTTCTGGCTTCCCCCAAAACTTCAAAATGAGTCGAAGGAATTTCCCCGCGATGTTCGAAATTATTGATATTTATCTGAACGGTATCGCACCTTCTTTTTTAAACTGACGGTTCAAGATTACTAGTAGCCCAATATTTCATTGCACAACAGTTGTACTGTACTGTACTGTACCCAATATACAAGCTGTTAATACACTCTTCAATCAATTGTTGGGAGGCTGTCACAGGCTCTTTAAATCAAAGTGGTTACTTTTTTTTGGCTGGGCAGTGTAGTTTTACACACCGTCTTATTTGACTTTCTCAGGACTTAAAACTGTTTTTTGGGGGCAGACCCCCACAAAGAAAACAATATATTTACACACGTAAGGTCATCATCTTAACAGTTTTGTATGTTCATCCGTGAGCAGAGCATCAAGTTGACATGCCTATAACAGCTGAATGCGGCGATTACCATTTTGTTCAGCAAAACGCCTCACAAACGTATTAAGATCAACAGCTTTAGTGCGTTTTGATTCAATGCTGAGTACAGCCAAACTTGACAGTCTCTTCTCTGTCAGTGTAGACCGCAAATACCTCATTCCTTCAGTGCTTGGGTCCGAATGCTTCTCGCTTTGCGCCGTACCGTTCAAATGAAATCGCCGCCAATCATATTTCAACATTCGCGCCAGGACCGGGGTTACAAGACGTGCGTCTTGTGCTGCATTCACTTGCACTCGGACATTAGAGACGTTCTCTTTAAATGTCCGATGAGCCACAACTTTTCTTTCAAAACAAAGCTGCCAACTGGGGTGGCAAGGCCTATTTTTAGGGTGGCAGTTTCCATCCCATGCCACCCCGGGGTCCCCGGTAGGTGAAACTATAGGCTACTAGCTAGTAGCTACAGTACAGATGAGCTCGATGAGCTGTTAACTCTCGCTCTGACTTTTTTTTTTTTTTTAAATACACACGCATTTTTCCCACCCCATTCCGCGAAGACCCGCCCTACTGTGCCTCTGATTTGCAGACTGTTGGTGGGGGGGTAAAAACGCTGACGGGATGCTGAATGTGATTGGACCCATGCGTTGACAGACACACACAGACACAGACAGACAGACAGAGCGCTGTTTGCAGTGGACATAGCGGAGAATTTTGACTCGTTGAGTTGTCTCAAAGATAACACAGATAATACAGATAATACATATGAAAAGTATAATTTGCTCAGAGTCCAGAGACAGTTGTGGTTCGGTCCGGATCCGGACCGTAGTCCGGACTTTGAGGATGCCTGGGCTAGAGCAAATACACCACATACGTCACGCTAACGTGGAGGCGGGGGCAGGGGCTGGATCAACTCCTGATCAACAACAAAAAGCCCGCGTTTTATCCAGTTTGTACACAACGATGGAGAAACTTAACAAGCAGCAGTGGTCCACTGAAAAGACCAGCTACCTACAGGGAATCTGGTCTTCCGAAGAGGTACAGAGGAAGCTGGAGCACAATCGGCCATTGTTGTTGTTGTTGTCGGTGTGAGCTGTCACGCAAACGGTTACGTCATGACGCAAACGATGACGCAATGACGCAGCACCAGTCGGACTCTGGGCGGTGTGAAAAGAGCCGGAGCTAAACCGAAGAACCGGTTCTGAACCTGAAAAGCTCTAGCACGGAGCTTGAACCGGAGTTGCGTTGGTGTGAATGATGTATTATACCTCATTCACACCATATGCAAACGTCTCTGGCCAGGATTTATAAAGTAGAATGGATGGGTAAGGAGTGGAGTTTTACTTAGCTAGAACATTTGGTAATTTTCTTTTTGTTTGTATATTTTGTTTATGGTTCAAAAGCACAATTGGGCAGATATATGATTGTGTTTGTTGTTTTGGCAAATGAGTCACTGTATTTATTTCAGTTTGTTGTTGAAGTAATAAATAATTTTCCTAAACTTATATTAAAGGTCCCCTATTATACTGTTTTTCATCAATATATCATAGGTTTCTCACAGATAACATGTCTCTGAAGTGTTTGGCTGGAAATACCAAACAGATCATGACATGCATTGTAGCATCCCATAAACCCAGGGCCGTCCCTCCCTACAGGCCGATCATGCAGGCTGCATGGGGCCTCACATTGCGCAGGGGGCCTCGGCTTATGAGCTTGGATTGTGCGCAATTCTCAGCGCAGTTTCTCCGTGCACCCCCCCCCCCCCCCCCCAGTTTACAGCCTAAAAGACATGGATAATTTTTTCCCCTTTTATTCATTTTTATGTCAATTTGCACATTTCATGGTGATGCTCAGCCTCTCCCCTTAACTCCTAACAGTCACCATCATGTCAACCACAACACAGAGAAATACTGATAGAAATGTGTGTGTAGTTTTTGATACATTGCTGACAGAGGGAAATTTGAATACAGATTTAAGAAATATCAATTTTTGTCTTGACCATATTACAACTATATTATAATAAAATAATATAGTATTTATATTATTGAATTGATTATTATTATTAGTAGAAGTAGTTTATTTGCATTAATTATATTTTAATCTTTTTGAGGCTAGTATTTGGCAGGAAATGCAGACGTATTCACCTGTAAACGCATACTGAACGACATACATGCACATTTACCATTTACCTCACTGTATAAAAAAGTAACTGTGTTGATAATAGTAATAAACAGGAATTATATTTGCAAAGTACTTTGTTTCCAAAAAAATGTTTTTCACTCCTGTCGGTTGGGGGGAGGGGGGCTCATCTCACAATGTCGCTTGGGGCCCCAAGTTGGCCAGGGACGGCCCTGCATAAAACCGTCTGTTTCAGACCTGTTTCAAAAGTGCTGATTCTCTGTCTGTTACTTTAAGGCCCAGACACACCAAGCTGACACCAAAAAACACGTCCCGACGGAACACGACTGTT